GTCAAAACTGTGAATGTGGACATGCGTATGTCTTTAAATGCTCCGAGATTGCTCTGTGTACATCCAAGTGAAACGTAAGCCTTCTCGTCAGCATCGTTGTAGTAACACCAACATACGTATTAACATGTTTGTCAGAAATGCAATCTCCCAAAGGACACTTAAATTGATATACAATGTTGGTCTTTTGCAAGATTGCTAGTTGACACAGAGGCATTGTTTTGGAGGACTAGGTTGGTTGTATTAAATTTAGTATAGTATAAAATTAATTTTATTTTTTTACTTGAATCAGTGGCTGCTATATTAGTGTTTATGGGTCCTTTTAGATTTTTCTTCCTGCTTATAGTTAGAATGCATTTGATTACGGTATATTAGCTTGCTATTTTTAGATTTATTTGATAATGTTCATCTTTACTTATGTTTATATTCCTAATAGCTCGCCTAATTTGTTAATTAACATTGTAATTAGGAAAGTTATTATTAATGAGGTCTTGTTTAACAATTTTTAATCCAGTATAGAAAATCTTTCTTGTTGAAGAGTTTGATTTTGCACGGTTTATTAAGTGTCATATGAGAACTATTTTGAAATAGGACATCCACTTTTACAGGTGACAGTGGAAGTTTTTATGCTAGTTGTTTTTTTTTATATGGAGATGTAGTAAATGAATGTGTATCACTGCATCAAGAGACGGGATCTTATTTGCCTTGTTAAGTTCATATGTGAACTTAAGTACTTTAGTACAGATTTTTTTGGAAAGCTTTTATGTAGTTCATGAATTTCATCTATGTCTTTGACTAAAATGATATATTAGGTAAATGGAGGGTTTCTGTAGTATTAAGTACGTTATTTTTTAAGTTAGTCATTAAGTACGTTATTTTCTAAGTTAGTCATGTAGAACTTGCTAAGTGTTGGTCCAAGAAGGGAACCGGTAGCGACACCCTTGCATTGTACGTATATGTTATTTCGATGGTCATAGAAAGGGACTAGTGTGGTGCGCATTAAGAGTAGTTTTCTTAAAGTATTAGGACGAATTTTAATGAAAAGAGAGATGAATTTTAGCTAGTTTTCTTAAAGTATTAGGACGAATTTTAATGAAAAGAGAGATGAATTGTAGATATACTTTATGATTATATCTACCGTTTTCTTGACTTAGACGTTGGTGAAAAACTTTCAACGTTGAGGGAGGCTAAAGTTCCCTTATTGTTTTGTTTTTGTCTTTAGAATTTGAAGTAGTTCGTGTGTTGATTTTATGCTGTATTAATTTGCAATGTATGGTGTAATTAGTCGATTAAAAACTTTATTTAGGATGAGGATTTGGCATAGGAGAGGACGGAGAGAGAAGTTAGGTTTATGTATTTTTATAGTTCCATACATGTATCCTGGTTTGTATTCGCCAATTATTTGAGAGACTTTTAAGCTGTCTAGTCCTGCGTTAATATTGCTTTTATCCACCTTTTTAAATATTAAAGGGCGTCCCAATAACTTGGGGCGATTTTAAATGTGAATTAAGTTTAAAATCGGTCCAAGTTATATATATAACCCTAGATGCTATATACGCTATATATTATTGTGGTTCATTGGTTGCAGTTCTTTGTTGTTTTGATAGAAGTCTGGATTTGTTTTTTTCCTATGTCATGCCTATCTTGCTCCACCTCAGCTTTTGGGTTTGTATTTATCATTTTCAATACTTCAAGTTTTTATATGTTTTGATACATCATTTCAATTTCAGTTTTTGTTTTTTGGGGGTTTTTTTTTGGTTTTTTTATCCAGTCTGTTATATTTTTTTATAAAGGTGATGATTGGGTCGAAGGTCGAGTAATTTTTTTTTGTTTGCTTGATAGTTCATAGTCAGAGCCGGTTATAAACTTGTCATTATTATTTCGAAGTTGTATAGTTCCTTTGTACAGTGTATGTAAGTATGTATATATATATATATATATATATAGATAGATAGATAGATAGATAAAACTCGGCTCTCTGATTTCTCAATTCCAGCCATATCCATTATATATATATATATATATATATATATATATATATATATATATATATATATATAAAAAAAATTACGAACATAATCAATGAAAAATTTTAAAATGCCGACTAAATGTTCATGCGACAAGCGATCTTCAAGTGTCATTTACGCTATTTTTGTTGTTTCATTACTGCTGTTTATAAAATACTGCTACATATTTCTATTTAATATAATACTGCTATTATATATATATATATATATATATATATATATATATATATATATATAGATAGATAGATAGATAGATAGATAGATAGATAGATATATAATGCATATGTCTTTGTGAGATGTAAAACTGTTGTCGTGGAAATTATCTAGGATCGAGCAGATTAATTACCGAAATCATCAGTATACAAAGCGGCTTTTTGCTTTGTAATTTCTGTCGCCATGACGTTAGATAAGACGAGAAGGATATAAGTGAATGTGTTGCAATGAAATAGATATCGATTGAAGACTGCCAGTCATTTTGGTTTTTACATGTGCAATTTCACTCTGTATTTTGTTCGGTAATTGCTTTCTACTCTCAATAATTGCTAGGTTCACTTGCTAGTGATGTTACAACTTGTATTTAACGTGGCTTATTCACTGGGTAAGGTCGCGTGATGATCGTTAGCTTTTGTTTAAACGTGTACAAATGGCTTTTTTGTGGTAATATCATTGAAAGTAATTTCATACTATTCAGATCAATAAAATGCAGTTACTTTGCGCCAATATCATGTTAAAAGAGAACAAAAATATTTATGGAATTGTTTTAGGAAGCAGCCCAATTCCTTACCAAAATGTTGATGCGGAAAGTTTTTAAAAATTTGGCACATGAAGACACTAATATTTTCAGTTGTGGTTGGAACCCTCGGTTTGATTGGAAAAAGTTCTGATATTCTCATTGAAGGGATCTCTGTTTACTCATGCCTTAAAGAAATCCTCACAAAATTTTTCTTACAATTACAGCTTATGAAGGGTGTTATCTATATAAAATGTGGATAATTTTTTTTTTATATTTTTTTTACATACATCTTCAATGAAAAATGTCATGGAGCCATTTCTGTACTTAGATCTTTGGTTGGGACCCTGAAGAAAATGAATATGCAACAGAAGCTAAAGCAAATACTACTACTACTAATAATAATAATACTAATAATAATGATGATGATGATGATGATAATAATAATAATAATAATAATAATAATAATAATAATAATAATAAGAAGAAGAAGAAGAAGAAGAAGAAGAAGAAGAAGAAGAAGAAGAAACGGGGTAAATTCCTGGTGACTCTAAAATATGTGAACGGCAAAAATCATAATCATGGGTGCTTCACACAACTTATATAGATTACTCTCAATGCAGTTATCAGAAGTGCATATTTCTCTCTGATTTGCGTGGCACTTTCTCTGCTTGTATTTTCAGGTAAAGCAATTGTTGTTTTGAAGTCTTTGGTGGTGACATTCGTGCAAAAACAACAAATAATAATAATAATAATAATAATAATAATAATAATAATTTTATTTAACTGTAATATATATATCTTTGTTGATATATATATATATATATATATATATATATATATATATATATATATATATATATATATATATATATATATATATATATATATATATATATATATATATATATATATATATATATATATATATATATATATACATACATAAATATATATATATATATAGATACATGCATATATATATATATATATATAAACAAAGAACAGTAACATACATAATCCTGTGTTCTTATTGATATTTTTAATTCTATTTTTACAAAACATTGCTCAATGTAAATTTACAGAGCATAAATATTATAAATTAACTGATTGAAAATATGTTTTTTCGTTGCAAAAATGGAAGCTAAAAACTTTAAATTTAATTATATAATTAAATTAAATGCATTCGTTCCGTTTCATCTTCAAGCGAATATTGGAATAAATTATTTTTAAATTTACTGAGTTTAAACCCACATATAAATTCATAATCAGTAGGTGACCATATTTATGATCTTGTCCCCAAAGTAAACGATATACAACAGGTGTCCCCATCGTGGGAGAAGAGTGATAGGTATCGTTCATTATCATAACCCTGTAATGAGATGAATCCTCATTGTGTTTAGTTAATAACTATCTTTGCATGTTGAGTAAATTCTTGGAAGCTCGACTTGTTTTCATCAAAACTTGTAATATAAAAGGTAAAGAAAGAAACAAAAATAACAAATTTAATTGGATCGATTAATTTGTAATGGCGAAGAAGATCGAGAGGAGGAAAATGAACGAAAAAGAAATAAAAGGAGAAACGTTCATGAAAAAAAGACAAGAAATTAAAAATAGATAAAACAGGAAAATATAGAAGAAGCTAAAAGACAAATATGAAATGGTGACTCGAAGAGAAAAGAGGAAGAAAATAGGAGAAAGAGAAATGAAGATAAAAACTTATGAAAAATATATATTGAAGGGAAGTATGTACAGGTTGCGGCAGAAATATCTCCCATATATATCTCCCAAAAATTGCACCCTCATAATGGTAACACATTAGTATAAATGGTGTCTTCATGAAGCTAATCTTTCACCATTATGTGAGAAGTGTCTCTGGAAATTATATATGGGTGGTATTTCTGTCACAAGGAATGAGAGAAAATGTATTTTAAAGAAACAAAAGAGACAAAAAACAATGACAAAAGGTTATAAAAAGAAAAATTCCTTGAAAAAGAAAAGAAATAATAGAATAAATAGTACAAGAGTCAGGAAAAAATGAAATGGTAAGTTAAAAAAATCAATAAGTTAAAAAAAAGAAGAAAAACGAAAAGGACGGAAATAAAATAAAATAAATATAAAATATAAAAGGATTGAAAAGATAAATGGAAATTAAGATGAAAGACAAGTGCACTCAGAAAAAGCAGAAAGATAAAAAAAGGAAGATGAAGAAGAACACATAAAAGAAAGGAACATGCAGAAAGGAGTCAAAAAAAGAAAGGAAGATAAAAAAACAAAGAACTCATGGAAAAACAAATGTGAAGAGAAAGAAAGATAAAATTGAAAATAAAAAGGAAAAATAAAAGAAAAGTATAAAAGAATGTAAGATAAAAATGAAGATAAAAAGGAAAAAGATAAAAAGAAGAGGAAGAAAAATCAAAAGAAAAAAATGTTAAAATGTATATGAAAAAAAAGAAGTTCAAACTGAAAAGAATATAAAAGAAAGAAAAGTATAAAGAAAGAACTACAAAAAAGATAAGCAATGAAAAAAGAAAGGAAAAGAAAAAGAAAAAGAAAAGAAGGATAAAATGAAAAGAATATAAAAGAAAGAAAAGTATAAAGAAGTATAAAAAGGATAAGAAATAAAAAAAGAAAGGAAAAGAAAAAGAATAGAAGAATAAAATAAAAAGAATGTAAAAGAATGAAAAGTATAAAAAAGTTAAGAAATGAATAAACAATGGAAAAGAAAAAGAAAAGAAGGATAAAATGAAATTAATATAAAAGAATGAAAAGTATAAAGAAGTATTAAAAAGGAAAGAAATAAAAAAGAAACGAAAAGAAAAAGAAATGGATAAAATGAAAAGAATATAAAAGAAAGAAAAAAAATAAAGATGTATAAAAAAAAGATAAAAAAAAAAAGAAAAAAAAAAAAAAAAAAAAAAGGATAAAGGATAAAATGAAAAGAATATATAAAAGAATGAAAAATGTAATGAAGTATAAAAAAGGTAAGAAAAAAAGAAAAAAAGAAACGAAAAGAAAAAGAAAAGAAAAAGAAAAAAAAAAGAAGGATAAAATGAAAAGAATATAAAAAGAAAAAAAAGTATAATGAAGTATAAAAAAATATATAAAAAATGAAAAAATAAAAGGAAAAGAAAAAGCAAAAAAAAGAAAAGAAAAGAAGGGAAAAATGAAAAGAATATAAAAGAAAGAAAAGTATAAAGAAGTATAAAAAAGATAAGAAAAAAAAAAAAAGAAAAAAAAAAAAAAAAAAATGAAAAGATAAAATGAAAAGAATATAAAATAAAAGAAAAGAAAAGAAAAAAAAAGGAAAAGAAAAAAAATAAATGATAAAAAAAAAAGAAATAAAAAAAGAAAAAAGAAAAAGAAGGATAAAATGAAAAGAATATAAAAGAACTAAAAATATAATGATATATAAGAAGATGAGAAATGAAAAAGAAAGGAAAAGAAAAGAAAAAGAAATGATGGATAAAATGAAAAGAATATAAAGGAAAGAAAAATATAAAGAATTATAAAAAAGATAAGAAAAGTAAAAAGAAACGAAAAGCAAAAGAAAAAAATGATAAAATGAAAAGAATATAAAAGAAAGAAAAGTATAATGAAGTATAAAAAAGATAAGAAATGAAAAAAGAAAGGAAAAGAAAAAGAAAAGAAGGATAAAATGAAAAGAATATAAAAGAAAAGTAAAAAGGTATAAAAAGTATAAAAAAAAAAGGAAAAAAGAAAACGAAAAGAAAAAAGGAAAAATGAAAAGAAAATAAAAAGAATATAAAAGAAAGAAAAAAATAAATAAGTAAAAAAAAAAAGAAAAAAAAAAAAAAAAGGAAAAGAAAAAAGAAAAGAAAAGAAAGAAAAATGAAAAAAGAACATAAAAAAAAGAAAAAGTAAAAGAAAAAAATAAAAAAAAAAAAAGAAATAAAAAGAAACGAAAAGAAAAAGAAAAGGATAAAATGAAAAGAATATAAAAAGAAAAAAAAAAAGAAAAGATGTAAAAAAAAAGATAAAAAATAAAAAAAAAAAATATAAGAAAAGAAAAAGAAAAGAAGGATAAAAAAAAGAAATGAATATAAAAAGAAAAAGTAAAAAAAAGAAAAGTATAAAAAAATAAGAAAAGAAAAAAGAAACGAAAAGAAAAAGAAAAGAAGGATAAAATGAAAAGAATATAAAAGAAAGAAAAGTATAAAGAAGTATAAAAAAAGATAAAAAAAAAAAAGAAAAGAAAAAGAAAAGAAGGATAAAATGAAAAGAATATAAAAGAAAGAAAAGTATAAAGAAGTATAAAAAAGATAAGAAAAGAAAAAAGAAAGGAAAAGAAAAAGAAAAGAAGGATAAAATGAAAAGAATATAAAAGTAAGAAAAGTATAAAAAAGATAAGAAAAGAAAAAAGAAAGAAAAAGAAAAAGAAAAGAAGGATAAAATGAAAAGAATATAAAGGAAAGAAAAATATAAAGAAGTATAAAAAAGATAAGAAAAGTAAAAAGAAACGAAAAGCAAAAGAAAAAAATGATAAAATGAAAAGAATATAAAAGAAAGAAAAGTATAATGAAGTATAAAAAGATAAGAAATGAAAAAAGAAAGGAAAAGAAAAAGAAAAGAAGGATAAAATGAAAAGAATGTAAAAGAATGAAAAGTATAATGAAGTATAAAAAAGATAAGAAATGAAAAAAGAAAGGAAAAGAAAAAGAAAAAATAAAAGAATGAAAAAATGAAAAGAATATAAAAGAAAGAAAAGTAGAAAGAAGTATTAAAAAGCAAAGAAATAAAAAAGAAACGAAAAGAAAATAAAAGGATAAAATGAAAAGAATATAAAAGAAAGAAAAGTATAAAGATGTATAAAAAAGATAAGAAAAGAAAAAAGAAACGAAAAGAAAAAGAAAAGAAGGATAAAATGAAAAGAATATAAAAGAATGAAAAATGTAATGAAGTATAAAAAAGGTAAGAAATGAAAAAAGAAACGAAAAGAAAAAGAAAAGAAAAGAAAAAGAAAAGAAGGATAAAATGAAAAGAATATAAAAGAAAGAAAAGTATAAAGAAGTATAAAAAAGATAAGAAATGAAAAAAGAAAAGAAAAATAAAAAGAAAGAAGGATAAAATGAAAAGAATAAATGAAGATAAAAATAAACGGAAGATAAAAAAAGAAGAGTATACACCAAAAAAGAAGGAAAATAAGAAAGAAATGAAAATATAAATAAATATGTATAAAAAAGGAAATAAAAGAAAAAAGAAAGAAATACGAAAAAGAAAGAAAAGAAAAATAACGAAAATAAAAATGAAATGAATGTAAAAAAGGACATACGGTAAAAATGAAGGTAAAAATGGAATACGCTAAGATGAAAGAAAAGATAAGAACTGAAGATCAAATCAGTGTTAAAAATAGAATAAAATGAAAATCAAAGGAAAATAAAGCAGAAGACAAAAATACCAGATGGAAAAAAATAATAGTGAAAATTTATAAAAGAATCGTTTAAGAGAAAGATATGAAATGTTATTGCAAAAGGAAAGGAAAAGAAAAGCACAGGAAAAAAAACAGAGACAAAAGAGAAAATAGTAACTCAGAGAGAGCAACAGAGCGCGCGCGAGAGAGAGATGTGAACTTTTAAGGTGAGGAAGAAAGAGAAAGAAAAACTGGGAGAAAAGAAAAAGAAAAAGGTTATGGGAAAAAGTAGTAATATTGGAAATAGAAGAGATATATGTAATAGGATTAAGAGGAAAAAAAGAGGAACAAATCAGCAGGACAAGTGATTAAAAAGATAAGCGCCTAAAAAAAAAAAATAAAAATAAATATTGTGAAAATGTGAAAAAGAAAAAAATGAAATGACTACGTAAATAGAAAAAAGAGCGATAAAAATCACTTTCCCACCGCCGTAATGTAGCTTCCATTTTCTATAAATACATTCATAATAATTGTTTTATGGTACTGGTTTGGCTACAAGGTCTGATCTCTTTATATTTGAAATAGTTAGATGTAACCATAGGTTCTATGCTAACAGCTTCTTTTCTTGCACTTATCGCCAGTGGAACTGTCTTGCGGCTTCAAGATTTATCTTCAAAAATTTAAATACAATGTCAATCGTTATCACATGTTTTCTTAATTCCAGTTCTTTTATTATTTTTCTCCTTAGTAAAGCTCTGCTTTTTATTGTAGCATTGTAGGTCAATGTGATACTACTAAAAAAGCAGAACGCCACAACGAATGTCAGTCGAGCTAACATCTGTTGACCTGAAAATGTCTATTCCAGAGATTACTCTATTCATAACAATATGGCGTCACCGATAGGATCCTTAACCGCTTTGAATGAACCGAAGCACTTAGAAATTTGAATTAGATGTTTCGCAGCGTTAGCTAGGGTAAATAAACTAAAAGACAAGAAAACCTCCGGAGGGGAGAATGAAATTACTGATTTATTTTGGCTTTGGCAGGATGTGAAGCCATAAAGAAAATATCCATTATGGTGTATCTCAAAATACTGGAAGACTTAACATATGAGGAAATTTCAACCATTATAAAAAGAGACATGAGACCAAAATAAATAAAAAATGCTGTTTATTGCAGGGAGAACAAAATTTCTGGGAAATAGACAGAAACCGAATGAAGTTGTAGTACGTTTTCACAGATTGGAAGAAGCATCAAGATACTGCGAATTTGAAAAAACTGGGTTCGAGAGAAATGTCTTTAGTAGACGAATTGATCCTTCTAAGATGAAATGAATGACATAACTTTTCCCCTGCAGATTGACACAGGGAGCGATGTTATCTTGACCCCAAGGAATTTCTGGGGAAAATGTGTAAAACCAAATTAAGAAAAATTAATCCTTATTTAAAACAATTTGATGGAAATATCATCAAAACTTTAGGTTCATTTGAACGAACTTTCGGGACCAAAAAAGACATTTTGAGATGATTCACCTCACTGTTTTAGAATGCACAAAAAATCAGAGTAGACGTTTTAAAAACGGATACAGCGAAATTAATAAACTGTATAAAGTCAGAAGAACGAGACATAAGTCTATTAAAAGTATATAAAACAAAATAATCACCCGATCTATTTTAAATCTCAAAAATACATATTTAAATATGACCCATGGTTGCTGCAAAACTATAGAAAATGATAAAACAAGGCATACTGGAAGAATTTACCCAAGGTGGTAGCAGTCAGGCTTCACCAAATGTTGCGATACGAAAGCCCAATGGTGATTTGAGGATGTGTGAGGATTACAAAGTAGGTGTGAATCATCAGATATACTTTGATTTATTGCCCTTACTAACACAGAAAGGGCAAGTCATGAATTAGCAGAAAGGAAGTACTTTGCCAAGATTGACCTGAAATTGGCATATAACTAAAGAGAAATTGACAGAAAAATTAAAGAAGTATATATAGTAAATACCCCGGTAGGTTTACTAAGACGAACTCATCTTCTATTTGGAGTTAAGACTTCAAGTCATATTTTTCAAAAGGCAAATAAAAAAAGTTAGAGGGGGTAAAAATGTAGTCATATATTAAGACGATATATACATAGGTGCTTACAGTTAAATGGAATAAAAAAAAAACTGGAGAATTTTTAAACAAATTAAAAAATGCTGGTGTGACAATGAATAGAGCTAAATGTGAATTAAACTGCGACAAAATATCGTACATGAAATATCAAATATTTGAAGAAGGAATTTCACCAAACGATAAACTGATAAATAAAATATCGGAAATAACTACACCAAAAAATAAAAAAAAAGAATTAGAATCCTTTTTGAGATTGACCAATTTGTATATCAAGTATCTACATAGATATGGTGACCTAAAGGAACCATTTATTTTATTACGGAAAAAAGAATACAGAATTTAAATGGACTCAAATGTAAAATATAGCTTTTGAAAGCTTAAAAAAAGGTGTTAATCAATAAACCGATTGCAAAAATCTTTGATCCAAAAAGAGAAGTGACATTGACTACGGATGCAAGTGAACATGCTGTAGCCGCAATTCTGTCTCAAGAAGGCCATCCAATAAGGTACCTTTTGAGAAAATTAACGTCAGCTGAAGCTAACTACTCAAATATTGAGAAAGAAGCGTTAGCAACAGCATGGAGCACAGAAAGAGCTCGATTTTTTGTTTGTAAGGACACTAACAAATTTCTGTTAACGTCATACCGCAGACCCTTAGAGTTTATATTTAGTTCCAGGAATGTATTACCGAAAGTTACATCTTCTAGAATTATAAGATAGGCTATAAGACTCATGGCTTTTGATTACGACATCATATCCGTAAAGACGAACACTATTCCACACGTGTATGCGCTATCCAGACTAAATTTCGGCAGTAAAAATTAGAAACGTCTGAAACTTCAGAAGATAAAATACTGCACTGGCTTGAAACGGACGTGTTACTTCTAAATCGTCTCAGAATGGAAACTATCCAAAACCTAGTGTTAAGTAGAATTTCAGACAGAATAAAAAGAAACATATGGAACAATTGTTCATTGGCAGAAAGACCCTAGAAAAAATCAAGGCATAAGTTAACTGTAGAGAAAGGCATAATATGTAATGTAGATATTATAATACTCCCACAAAATTACAAGTGTGGTGGCCAGGATATTCTCAAGATGTAGAAGACTATGTAAAAAGATGCACAAAATGTACTGAAATAAAAAAAAAACATTCTGGAAAACAAAATTCACTTTTGGCCTAAAGAAAAAAAACATGGGCTCAGGTACACATGGATCATGCCCATATTAAAAGCATGGGGCTATTTTAATTTTACTGGACTCATTTTCAGCATGATCCAAAGTAATTAAGGTTGCTGACAGAAAAGCCACCACAGTAAAACAAATACTAAGAACAATATTTTCAAGGAATGGGGTGCCTAAAACTTTGGTTTGAATCCAGTAGTGAAACTGAACAATCTATGGATGATAATGACCAGAAATCTGACGAGGTGTTGGAAGAGGAAAAGAAATCAGACCTCGGTCCGTTATATGAAGAAATCAAGATACACGCCAGGAAAGACAGTTTAGATTCCCAAGAATAATTAGAAGAAATCAAAGATCAACGAAGGGCATAAGGCCATTTGGGATCAGGGAGGTGTAGTATTGTATGTAAATGAGATAAAAAAAATGTGACTCTTTTGGTGTACATTAGTGATTACGAGTATTTCAGAGAAGCTTCAAGGAAAACTACAACAAATTCATGACAATAGGCTTGATGTTTTAATGGAATCATTTTTATTAACAAAATAGTTATTGTCAACAATAACAAAATACCTCCCCCCATTCACACAGGCATACACGCGTAATGACATAGTACTTTAAATAATGAAAGACACGGTTTAAAACTAGCGAATTGACGCTGTGTTCTACCGGAAATAAAGTGAAGGGTAAAAAAAGTGAAGGGTAAAAAAGCAGAACCTCACAGCGAGTTACCATCTTTTGACCTGACAACATCTAGTCCAGAAATTAATCTAGTTTATCACACTTATATTCTTTCACACTCACTCATCCGTCTGTGTCCCAAAGCCTTTATTGCCTTACTTGGTGTGAAATGATTAAAAAGAAAGCAGATAAAAGAAAATATCATGAATATTCTAAAAAGAAGGAACATTTTAGGACAGACCGAAAAGAAAAAACGGTCATGTTAAAGGAGGAAAGATAAAAGGAAAAAAACAATGTTAAAAAAAAGTGAGAAAACATGAAAGAAAAAATAATAAAAGAGTTTGAAAGAAAGAAACGATAAGATAAATAAGAGAGAGATTTCAAAAAAGAATGGAGAAAAGGATATCATTAAGTGAACAAATTTATGAAAATATGATTAATAATGGAAATTATATGAAAAACAAAAGCAACAATAAGGAAAATATCAAAAAAGGCCGAAAGAATGATCAGGTAAAAGGTAACAAAATAAAACAACAAAGTGGAAAATGGATAAAAATGAGAAAAAATATTTCATAAAAAGGGATAATGAATGTTATGGTCCAGGTTAGGAGCAAGGAAGAACAACACGAAGAAATAACGAAGTTATATTACACGAAATAATAATACAAGATGTGGAAGTATGATTGTCAGTCTGGTTTGGAGTGAACTACTATCGACTCGACTCGATTCGGTATCTAGCCCCCCCCCACGAGGGTTGCATGTGGCACAAGGCCGAGTTTAACGTGGGCTCCCCGAGACCGTAGGCTCGGCCAAAAAATGCCCGTAGAACCCGTATAAACGGGATCGGGTTGGTCAACCTCCCCGAACGAGACTCTGCCCTTCGGCGTAGCCTCGTCCGGATTCCTCTCTGCTGAGAGGCAGAGAGTTCGACCGTCAAGCCGAGAAGCTCGGCTTGATTTGGTATCTAGCCACCCCCACGTGCGTTGCATGTGGCACAAGGCCGAGTTTAACGTGGGTTTTCCGAGCCCGTAGGCTCGGCCAAAAAATGCCCGTAGAACACGCTATAAACGGGATCGGGTTGGTCAACCTCCCCGAACGAGACTCTGCCCTTCGGCGGAGCCTCGTCCGGGTTCCTCTTTGCTCAGAGGCAGAGAGTTCGACCGTCAAGCCGAGAAGATCGGCTTGATTCGAACCTCTCTCTTGAGAGGCGTAGTATACATAGTGTTAGGAAGAGTTCATTCTGTAGTTATAGGTAAGAACCCATGGCA